GGTACCTGGTGGCGGGTGTCACCCCGGTGCGGCTTAGGGGACGGATCCGGCAGCACCGGCACCAGGAGGGCGGCAGTCGTCACACCGTGTGGGGAGCTGGGAGAGACGCTTGTACCGAGCTGCTCCTGCGAAGAGGGCCGGGGGTTGCCCCTGGGGCCGTGCGGGGTGGCGCGGGTGAAGGTGGCTCCGGTGCGGAGGTCAGAAGGGAGCTTGGGGCTCAGGTGAGCGGGCAAAGGAAAGTCTTGGCATGGCCTTTAGTTTCTGAAGTTGCCAGGCTTTTACAAAACTTGTGGTTCAAGGTGTCACTTTCATGTGTCGCCCTTCTTGGAGCTCCCACAGCATATTGCGTTTTTCGAGTAATAAGTTGTAGTGCTGAGTCTTAGCCACTGAAGTAATACTTTTCTTATGCACGATGGCAAGGCTGTCAGCCTGGGAGACGCAGAACTCATCCACACATTAGTGCTGGAACGTTAGCTCCGTTTCTGAGCGTGAAATAAATTGGTTCATTTATGACGGCTTTTCTGCCGTGACTTTTTACTCCTCGGCAGTGCAAAGCATGGCAGGGTTCTAGAAATAACAGGGAGTGGGAGGAATTTGATGCTTTTTCAAGGGGAAAAACTCACCACCCTGGCTGTGTAGTTAGCTGCTTTTGCGTTTTCTGATAGCGGGAAGGTACATGAAGTACCTATCTCTGGTGATTCCTGGCTCATTCCTGCCGCCATGCTGTTACGCCTCAGTTACGCTGGTAGAGTTGTGTGTGAAGCTGCCCCGTGAACTGGAAGAACATGGAAAACAACTGTTACTCTTCTGAAGTTTCCTTTTCTTGGAGCAATTGTTATCTGGGGCAGTGTTTTGCTCTGGTTCTTGATGGCACACCCGAGGGAGCAGCGTGGGAGCGGGAGCATGAGAAGGAAGAGGGTCTGCTTTACATCTGCATACTGAAAAGTTTATTTATTTGACCGTTGTTGGAGAGTCATCACAGGTCACAACCACATCCTGACCAACCTCGGCTGGAGAGTGAAAGTGTTCATTCACGTTCCCCTGCTTGCTCACAACTTGACTGTTGAGCATAGCTTGGTTTCTGTCGGGGCTCCATTGCACACATACTTTCTTTAAGGCCTGCGTGAATCCTTTGCAGTTCCAGCATAACGTAGTGCAGTGCATTGACTTTAGATAAGCTTTCTCTTTTCGTATGTATTATGTGTATATAACAAGGCAGAAGGTCAGTACTTCACAGCCTGGCTCTCATGAGAGACTGGAAAAATGTGGGAACAAAAGAACCTAAAAGCCAAAGTACGAGAAACGGTACAAAGAATACTTAATCATCAAAATCCACTAAGATTTTGGTCCACGATTAAGGTCCACTAAGAGGATAGGTTTGGTAAGGGAAGAGAGAGAAGCATGTACATGGAAAGCTTTACAGAGAATACTGTAAAAACAGAAGTATAAGTTCTATAATGAGGGAGGATTATTTAAGTTTATAAATGTAAGTGATGTAATGATGTAAATGTAACGTTGTAAAATATATTGACATCAAATAATATTTCCTAGTTTAACACATGCTGTGTAATTGTTAAAGTGTTTCTTACTACATTGTGGGAAGGATTTAGTTTTCAGTTGTTTTGCGAAAGAAATGTAAAATTACTCTCAGAATGCAGTCTAACCTTCTATAAATCTGTTTACAGTCAGACTGCACAAAGTCTGAGGTGTCAGTATTTAGTACTTGAAAATTTGACTTCTGGAGAAGTTCTGGCAGCCACTGCCCCTGTACAGCAGCAGACAGTGCTCGTCACTGATAATTAAAAAGGAGGAAAAAAAATCCTTGTTGCATTGAGAGAGTCCTTCTGTTAACAGCTGCCAGTCTCACATCGAAGACCAGCATTGCTCACTCTTTTGGACAAGAACATCAACACCAAGGGGCTCATGGGCTCAAGGGTGAAGAAGACTGACTTACAGGCACAGCTGAGCCAGCACAGCCAGAGGTGCACATCTTCCAAAAGTCACTGCAGTTATGATATCAGTATGGGTATCAGCATGAGTATTTATCTATGTGAAGGTCATCTCGGCGGGCTGCACCAGATTTCCATTTCCTCATTTTTCCTTCCTTGAAAGGAGAAGCCTTTCTGTGCGGACCACAAAGCTGAACAGTTTATCTTTCTTCATAGCAGTGGCTGTTCAGTCTCATCAGAACCAGCACTGTCATCATCATCTGTTGCCTGCCACATGGAGCTGTGAGGAGCTGGTTCTTTTGTTGTTTTTTTTTGATCGTGAGATCTTGATTTCCCACCTGCTGCCTCTTGCCACGTCTGTCCATAGGCAGCAATGCAGGAACAGCTACTACATGTGCTAGATTTTCAAGTTAAATGCCTGATGGTGAGGAGAGGCCTTAGTGGTGTTTACAAATGAATACACTGCTGTCTTTGAAATTACCTCATCACAACTGGAAAATTAGCCAAGTGTCCATGCTTGCTTGTTTGTTACTCAAAATGCAATCCAGAAATTATCTTGGGTAGCACCCTGCACATTGTGCCCACTGTTCTCTACTGACAAAGCTGTTGCTTTCTCCTCTGCCCATCCTGGGTGATTCCAAGGCATTCAAGAAGTTTCTGCCTCAGATTTCTTCAGTCACAGGGCAAAAATGTCACCTTTTTTCTTTTAAGGTGATTTCTAAGGTCTTTCCAGGGTCTTTCCATGTACACATATAGGAATGAAATCTTGTGGCAACCTATGGTTTAAGGCAACTTCAGCTGTATTGTGTGTTGAAGTGGGCTAGAAAAGGAAAATAGTTGGTGCACCAGAATACCATGTAAGAATTAATTTGAAAGAGATAAGGGAAGAATCCTGGGCTTCTGATCCCTAACAGTTGTTTACTGTTTCTGTCAGACTGAATAAATTACCTGATGACTGTGAGTGAAATTGTCAATTGAGTTTTCATTGAATCATCTTTGGGCCAATAATTTTTTTTCTACATACCTTTTGGTGAAAACGTTTTGTTCCATAATTGGCTCCTGTGTGTCACTTTTTATTTTATAGAATAGACTATTAATTCTGTGTAAGTTTTAATGTATCTCCTTTCTTACTCTGTATCTTCATGGACTTTTCTTTCTTTGTAAAAAGATGTCCTCATCTTCCTATATTTACTGTTCTCTGTTATTTTGTCAAGGTTTCCTTTCTGTTCCCTTTACTCATATGTTCTCTGTCTCTCTCACACATGTATTGACATCGAGAGATGTCAATGGTATGCATGCCTATACCACGTCTACTGTTTAGATTTTGACTACCCGAAGATGGAAAGTATTTTTCTACTCGCTTCCAAAATCTGTTTCATTTCCTACTTACCTCATGTATTAGGAGGCTATAGCAATATTGATATTTACTGGATTAAATATAACTTTGATTATTAGGAAAGTAATTTACTGTAAGGGAGTCATGCAATTTATTATTGGAAGATGAAAACTTATTTTCTGGTGTAATGAATGTCCACACACATTTGTGATAGTGGAAAACCCAGAGCTCTGAAAGAGTTGTGTTTGGGTTGCCCATGGGCCTGTTGACGTGCTGTCTGCCCTCCGGACTGATGCCCAGGCATCCTTTTGAGGGCCTCTGCATAGCTATCTGGGCACAGCAGGACCCTCATCCTCCTGCCTATACACATGAACATAGATTACTTTTTTCCTTCAAGCTTTGGAGGGCAAATTTCAGTCATTGTAAGGAATGAGTTGTAGTTTACTAGTAGAGTTCCTTTGTTGCCATTGCTAATTGCTTTGCAACTCACTTCACTAGCATATTCTTAAATTGTTTTTCTGTAGCAAAGTGATGACTACCGAACCTTATCCTTGTCCGGGCATGTTGGTTTTGATAGTTTACCTGATCAGCTGGTTAAAAAAATACATCAAGCAGGGCTTCTGCTTCAACATTCTTTGCATTGGTAAGTGGAATCTGGGTGACTTAAAGCTGTAGTAGTATACTCATCCTTAGGAAGTGACTGAAATTTAAATCTAGTTGCGATGTTAAACGCTTTCATTAATGTTAAGGATGAACTATAATTCCACATCTTCCGCAACTTTGCTTGTTTGTATCCATCATTTGTTTTTATATATATAGCATTTTCATAAACAGTATGAAGACCAAAATTATTGAAAATGAATGCCATGCATTTATTGGTTTATGGGCAACTTCTTGGAGTCTTTTGAGTAAACTGGGCTATGCTCCATTTTTACTATAACCAAGTCAGAAAATCCTACAATTCCAAGGTGGTGCTACTGAAGTATTTCTATACTTATCAAACGTTTACCCTTATTCATAAAAGCCTTGTGTTGATTCCTGTGGTTTCACAGCTTGTTACTTAGCTTTCTAAAATCTGTAGGAAATTAGTTCACGCTCTTAAAGAAACCAAACTATCAAGAGACTGTTCCGCTTACTCCGCATTAGCAGATAACTCTTTTATTTGTAGGGTGAAAAAATTAACTAAAAGATAATTAGTGCCCTTTATAAAAAAGGGATGCAGGCAACCATTTTGCTCAGAGAAATCAGTTGACAAGTTTTTGTGTAAATCTGTTGAGTTGCTGTGATAACACTTTCTGTGCTTAGAAGGTATTTCGTTGATGTGCAAAATGCCTTCTCCAGCCCTTCTGTTTAACTTTAGGGGAAACTGGATGTGGGAAATCAACCTTGATAAGCAGTTTGTTTAAGACCAATTTTGATGACCCTGTGTTGATGCATTTTCTGCCAAATGTACGATTTAGAGCCCAGACTTATGAACTCTGGGAAAGCAATATTCTTTTGGAGCTGACAGTTGTAAATACAGAGGGATTTGGTGACCAGATGGACAGAGAAGACAAGTGCGTGCCCTATTGTTGCTATAGTATACAGAAGTTTTGGTCTTCAACTGCAAGTGGATTTTTCTTTAGGCTTTGTAGTAAATATTTGTCTTACATGTGTTCCAAATATTTGGTTAACTGTTTCCTCTGTATACCAAAGTAGACTTTTTTTTTCACTTGTTCAGGAAATCATTTGACAAATCAGCTGAACTCTGCCTCCTTCTTTATGATACAGTCTTTTATTAATGTAGGTACATAAAGTGCGCAACAGGGACTTGAGTTTCTTTTGAGGTGGAGAAAAGCAGGGAGAAGACCAACGGGGGAATTTTTAAGCGACCAACCAGATTATAGAGTATATTATATACATTAGATCTGTAGTATTTTTAAAATTGTCCCTGGAGCACATTTAAGATCTTAAACTGGAAGGAGTATCACGTGGATTACTGAAGGCCTTTGGTTTTTCTGTTGGACAGCTTAATCAGAAAATGTTAGAGATACCATGCTAGTGTCATTCAGACCTTTTTTTGAGCTTCTGCTTTTATGAATTGAAGATTTTTAAATATTGAACTGTTTCTCGATATATTTCATTTCCTGCATCTTAACTGTAAGGAATTCTAACAATTCTTTGTGCCATATGGTGCCTAAGTGGTGGTAATTATAAGTGAAAGTTAGAGAGTCATGTTAAGATTGTTTATGACATGACTGGAAAATAGCTACTGCTTGTGACTTGAAGGAATGAGATGCAAGTAGATAGTAGTAGAGATATTAGAGGTTTTGATGTGTGGTATAGGAGCTACCTTTTAATCCTTTTAATTTTGTATGTAACAACTACTTGAATTTTGATAGCATTTGATCTGGTTTATAAACTTTGTGTAGCAGCATAACTGTAAGGGCACGCTACTTGTATATGAAGCAACACTTTCTTTTAGAAAGCAGATTATAATCTGGTTTTAAGTAGGATAAAGTATACTTAAACTGTGCTTACTACAAATCAGGTTTACATTCTTCACTTACATTCCTCCTTTTCAATTTTTATCTGTTGTTTAAGAGCTCTCTCATGTACAGTACTTCAGAAGATAAAGGAAGTCCTGTTTCTTGGTACTGGTAATTGCATGTTCTTCCCCCCCCCCCGTATTGTGTCTAAGAGTTTCTTGTATCTTCCTCATATCTAAGAGTTCTGCAGTTGCACAGCTTGATTGCAAAAATTTATAAAGCATCACTTTAGAAGATCAGTTATAATCATAACTATATGTAACTTTTCACTAATAGTAGATAAATTTTTTATCTGTATTAGGTGCACAATTCTTTTTTGAGTAGCCTTTCAGAAATTAAGATTACTCTGTACATTTAGTTTTCTACTGGGTAGATATTTGAGCAGCCTTTTGACATGTAAAGTGCAAATCCACGAAACAATACAAGAGGAATTCCTTTCTTAGTCTGGCTCTATTTAAAAGTAGCTAATCTCTGGTTGTTAAATTTTATTTCTTACAGCTATCAACCAATAGTGGATTATATAGATGAACAATTTGAAGCCTATCTTCAGGATGAACTGATAATTAAACCTTCTTTATTTAGCTACCAGGATACTCGCATCCATGTCTGCCTCTATTTCATTTCACCTACAGGCCATGCCCTAAAAGCCCTAGATTTGTTAACCATGAAAAGCATAGACGGTGAGGGTAAGACTTTAAAACAGAGTTCTAAGAATTTGTCTTATTTTCTGAAGCATCTTGCAGCTTTTAGAACCTCTGCCACCATTCGGTTTTGTATCTGTGTGGTTTGTGTGGGGATGGTTTTTGGTACTGGTATACCTGAAGTTCAGAATAGATTGGTTCACTGAGTAGCTTGCAGTTCATCACTCGTTTATTTACAAATCAAAAGGAGAGAGACATCCCACAAAATTGGAAAAAAGCACAACAAGGTTTGGAAAAAAAAATTCAAGTAAGAACCACCCCCAACTTTACTTTTAACAGACTATTAACGTCTTTCTGTGATTGGGTAGAGTACCCTCCATGAGTGCGGTATAATATTTCTAATTAAAGTTTTTTCTAGTTTGCTCTCGAGTTTTGGCACTGCTGGAAAGTTGGCATATCAAAAGTTTTGCAGTGCTGCGAAGATCTCTGCTACAGATAACTGATGGGATCAGTGCCATGAGCAGCACCCTGCCAGCATGGCTTTTTCTACGATAGGCTGCGTTACTGTCTTAAGCTTCACATTTGAAAGCTTTAAAATAGCAGTTTCTAGTGTGATTACTTGCACTTTCTAAATTCTTAAATTTCTTCCTGTAATGGGGCTGTGTGAACTGGGTGAAGCTAAATGTTCAAGCTGTTTTAAGAAATCTTACATAATTTGAGTTTAATTTGTTGAAATTTTGAGAAATTTGAAAACTTGAATGTATTTTCTATCCCTCTAGGCCTTTCCTTTGTGCTTTACTAGAGCTTCTCCT